GGCTTCTGCTGTCAAGCCAAATGTGAGGGGACGTAGGCCAGGCCGAGGGACCCCACCAGTGCATGATCAGACCCAGGGAGGGATGCGGAGGTTGGCCAGCTGGGGAGGGACCATGGAAGGGCTCCAGGGTGTGTCCGGCCCATCTTGCTCAGCCCCGATTGGCGGACCCCAGCAGCCAGATAACCTACCAGTCAGAGCATCTGCCTCCTGGTGGTCAGTGCACATCACAGCAAGCAGTTGAGCAACCTTAGCATATCATTAGCATATTATGCTTTGATTGGTTGAACAGCTGACCGGACACTTAGCATATTAGGCTTTTATTATATATATATATTTCATAGAAGAAGGGAGAGGGAGAGAAAGTTTGAAATTCTGGGGGTCAATGATGAGAGAGTATCATTGATAGGCTGCCTCCTGCATGCCCTACACTGGAGATTGAGCCCATAACCCAGGCATATGCCCTAACCTCAAACCATGCTCAAACCATGACTTCCTGGTTCAAGGGTCAGTGCTCAACCACTGAGCCATACCAGCTGGGCTATGCGTACTTTTCCCTTCTATATGTCATGCTGCATACTTTTCCATATGCGTGTTGCACATCAATAGAATTTTCCTTTATAAAATATGCGTATTAGGTAATGCAGAATTACTGGAGGTCCTGGCTACATATCCCAAAGTCTGATTCAGTATCCCAAATCATGTTCTTGAACTGCATTTCCATTGCCAAGCATTGAACTGCAGCTTGCACCATTGGCCACTGCCACTACCAGCTCTGCCTGCCTTGTCCCCTGGTAGCTTAATCCTGCTGTAACTACTTCCACCTGAGGGAGAAAGTTCCATTCCTGGCTCCTATACAAATTCTGGTGTGGATGCCTTTGTTAGGTGGAGCCTAGCACAAGATTCTATCCTTGCTGTAAGGGAGGCTTGGGAAAGCAAGTATCTAACATTTTCAGCTTTTTAAAAAATACATATTTTATTGATTTTTTTACAGAGAGGAAGGGAGAGGGATAGAGAGTTAGAAACATCGATGAGAGAGAAACATTGATCAGCTGACTCCTGCACACCTCCTACTGGGGATGTGCCTGCAACCAAGGTACATGCCCTTGACTGGAATCGAACCTGGGACCTTTCAGTCCGCAGGCCGACGCTCTACCCACTGGGACAAACCGGTTAGGGCTGACATTTTCAGCTTTTAAAGTAGGCAGTGATGTCTGCCAGAAATTGTTAAAAAAAAAAAAGAAAGAAAGAAAAGGAAAGGAAAGGAAAGAAAGAAAAAAAGAAGAAGAAGAAGGCAGTGGAGGGGGTATTTCAAAGTGAAATCCTTCCTGAGGTGAATATTTAGGTCAGTAGAAGAAAGTAAATTTCAAATGTTAGGTATAGTGTCTAGGGGTAGAGATTGAATACAACATAGCATTTGGGTCCAGTGGAACAAGTTTAACCAGATCAAAGGGTGTGTTCTGGGAAAATGGCTAGAGAAAAGTTGAAGGAGTGGGGTGGGAAAGATTAAGGATTAATTTGAAAGCCAAGTGGAGGAATTCAAATTTAATATGGGAATTTCAGAGCCAATAAAAGTTTGTGAACAAGAATGTGTCCTGAGCCTTAACCGGTTTGGCTCAGTGGGTAGAGCGTCGGCCTACAGACTGAAAGGTCCCAGGTTCGATTCAGGGCAAGGGCACATGTGCCTAGGTTGCAGGCTCATCCCCAGTAGGAGGTGCGTGCAGGAAGCAGCCAATCATTATTTTTAAAAAAAGAATGTGTCCTGAGAGGAAGAGGTATTCAAGGACCATTAAGCTGGCAACACTTCTAGGAGCAGCAGCTAGGAGGTGTCTAGTAATTTAGGGAATGGGTGGTGAATTGCGAGTAGAAATAAAAGTCAGAGACTGGATTTAAGAGAGCATTTGAAGGGAAAAAATATCAATAGGACTTAAAGAAAATGAAGGAGAAGGTAATTCTCCTACTTTTGAGCCTGATGTGGTACCGCCTTTCATTCAGAGCTAGCGAGGGTGAGAAGGGGACTAGTTTGTAGGAAGTAGAATCAATTTTCATTTTGGAATTGTTGAGTTTGACGTAATAGGTCTTTGAGTACTAGTAAAAGCAGTCCCTGTGCAGTTGGAGATAGAGGCCAGACAGTGAAGTAAGCTCTGTGGAAGGAATACTAGTAGCTCTCACAGGGAGAGAGGGTGTGAAGGGACTAGAACAAATGTGCCAGAGTTCAGTGTTTCTCAGATCTCACATTTAGTGGTAAATATAATGTAGTGGAAAATTTGGACTACAAATTGTACCTTCTGCTTCGTAAAGCTTCACCTCAGCCCATATTGATACTATTATTATTTGATGCTGTTTTCTTTCTATTACTCTAATATCTTTGAAGTGTATATAATTAATCCATATGAGGCTTCTCTTGGTTATTTCTAATAGTTTTGAATGCTTTGAATACAAGGAGAATATGTTCAAGCTAGGGACTTTAAACAAGACTGAGAGAGGCTGCGTATAAAAAGCAGGCCTCCAGTTGATTAGAAAAATTACGAGCTGGAATTCTCAGCACCACTACTGGGTAGCCTTGGATCAGTGATGACAGCTCCATTCCATATTGTACTTAGAAAAGAATGGCTGTAAAACCTACTTAGGCCTAACAAGGTCTTTTCGAGCCTTAGCCAGTACAGTTAGGCACTGTCAGTAACCACAAGCTTTAGCACAATATTCAGGCTTGGTAAGGCAGCCTGGACTCTGGAGCCTGACGACAGGCTTTTGTGTACAGCTTGTAAGCTGTTGTTGAGGCACACCTTCTTAGTATTCCTCTTAGGACTTTATTCTCTATAGTCTGTAACATGTTCCTACTTGTAGATTATTCTAGATTGCTCAGATATCATTAAAGGATCTGCAGCTATCTTAACAGGTAACAGCTCATCCCTTGGGTAATGTGTGAATTAGTGAAGAAAAATCCCTAGATAGTTACCCATCATTTAAGCTGCTGGTGTGTTTGCTGGCATATAGTGCTTGAGTCCTCGGTCTCTCCAGGGTAATAGGTAATATCTTCCCTATATTTAGCTTAGTGTAGATCTTACTCAAATTAGCAGAAAAGACTCAAGGGCATGTTTGTCTCCTGCATGGTTTCTCTACCTAAAGAGGTAGCAGATTGACAACACAGGAAGTGATTTTGAGTCCGTGTCAAAGGATCCATCAGCCTTTCTAATTAATAGGATTTTTAAGTGAAACAAGAAATGATGAACCAGTAGTGCATTTATAAAAAAAAATAACCTTTTGCTTATGGATCAGACAACCTTTGCAACTCTGCTCCTTTGCTCACATGGTAGACATGCATCGAAAGAGTTATCCCACCTCTTTACATCAGAAGAAAGTAGTTTGCCAAGACATCCGTGTGTCATAGTTCATGTAGTTTCTGACAGGCCTTAAGGCAACAAGACGATTGAATATCAGATCTATCATTATTTTTGCAGAGAGAGTTCCCTGAGCTGGTGTGAGAGAAGCAGGAGTTTAATACCCCTTCCAAGCTCCCCCTTACCTCGTTTATCTTAAAGGGCAAAAATCTGAACAGGCAAACTATAATTGCCTAAAACAAAGCCAGCAAGGCACAGATTAATGTCACCAACCTGTGCCATTACCTATACATCCTAGGTCAAGCAATTATTCTTTTGGGAAGAGGAAACACTAACTTTATCAATAACATTCCACTAAAGATAAAAAGAAAAACAATGACCAAGATACCATATCTATTAAAAATACTTTGTTTCATTTTAGAGCTGGTTGAACTTCAGTGGTGGATAGAGCTTGTTCTTATATATGTTTTTGTAGTACAAGTTAAAAATCTTACTCCTTTTTAATCTTTTTAGGAGCTATCTCATCTTATGCATTAGAACTTAATTTGAAGAATTCAAAAAATGCCACTTGCCTTTATGCAAAATGGCGGATGAATTTCACTATAGACTATGAGACTACAAGCAAAAGTAATGTAAGTATTTTTCTTTTTCTTTGAGTTTTATAGCAGGAATTTAATTCTATTCTTTTTATCCTTTACATGCATTTATACAAATAAGATTTCATATATTAACTGACTTAAGTTATGTGAGTTTTTAAAAAAACTTGTGTCCTTGAATGTATTCTGATCAGTGTTGGAAGGAATATTTTAATTGGTTCTTTCAAGTTTTTTTAGAGTTGCTTAAGGGCAAATGATCTGAAGACTCTATGGTGTTCTAACTGCTTCTGTAATGTTTTTAACATGTATAAACATCAAAGCTTGTCCCTTTTTAAATAGCTTGCTATTAAAAATCTCCCCTTTTGGCAGTACTACTCAATCCCTTTGCCTTTTTATTTTCTTTTAGTTAAGGTCCTGCCTGCTTACAACCTGATTTTTAAAAAATCAACTTAAGAAGAGAAGTTCAGGCTAGTTTTCCTTTTCCTTTCAGACATAGTACATGAATTTGTCCAGAAACCTGGTGTGTAGCTGAGGAATCTGAGACTGGTTTACACAGCAAATCAGGCAAAGGGCAACCTAGCCATGGGGAATGTGTGATGTAGACTAAAGTGGCACATCCTGCGAAAATGCTTGATGCTCACTACTGTCTGTGTGTGTTCCTTACTCCCAAACTTCTTTATTTCAACTTCATCTTGTTTGTTTGTTTATATTTCTATTAAATTTATTTTGGTTTATTGGTTAACATCATGTAATTTTCAGGTATACAAAATTATAATACATCATCTGTATATTGCATTGTGTGCTCAACACTCAATCTAGTTTCCATTACCTTATATTTGACCCCCTTCACCTATCTTGCCATCCCCACCTCTCTTTCCCCTGTTGTCTGTATCTATGAGCTTGTTTTTGTTTGTTTGGTTAGTTTATTGCTTTTTATTTTATATTTCACATATGAGTGAAAGCTTATGGTTTTTGTCCTTTTCCATTTTAGCATAATACTATACAAACCTATCCATATTGTTGCAAATGGCAATATTTCATCTTTTTATGGCTGAGTAGTATTCCATTGTATGTATGTACCACATCTTTATCTAATCATCCACAAATCAAACTTCTTTTTCTTTTAGAAAACTGTAACCATTTCAGACCTTGGCAATGCAACATACAATGGAAGTATCTGTGGTGATGACCAGAATGGTCCCAAAATTGAGGTTCAATTTGGATCTGTTTTTTCCTGGACTGTGAATTTTACAAAGGAGAAGTCTACTTATTTAATTGAAAGTATCTCATTTTCCTATGACACTAATGATAGCACAACATTTCCTGATGCTAAAAAGAAAGGTAACCTTAATAATTGGATTTGTGTTATGTTCTCTTGCTGTTTATTAATAATAAAAATGTGAATAATTTAAAAATTATGCTTATGCATGTATGTCTTCCTAACTACACTGGAAACTATGCTTTTGTATCCTTCCCACACCCATGTACAGCACAGTGTTCAACACAGCATTGATATTTGCTATGCTTTGTATCAGATGGTACCTTAATCCTTATCAATAAGCTTGAGAAGTAGATATTTTCCCAACTTTACAGGTAAAAGGAATGAGGCTTGATGATATTAAATTACTTTCCCAAATGTCACACAGGCTAGTAAGTGGGTGAGCTGTTTTTTTGAACCAAAGTCTATTGAGCTACACACTTAACTATTACTATTTATTTCATTCAATGGGCACTGAATAAATGTTGAATCAATGAACAAATCCTTTATTAATAACTATTTTAAATGTGTACAAATTCAGTAATCTAAAAGGAACAGAAATCCTTCATCTGCAAATCTTTCTATCATTTTGATAGGATTTTGCCAACAAGTAAATGATGATTAATTAAAGATAAAATGACTGGAGTCAACATTTACTGCTATTTTGAGAAATATCAGGTCAAAAAGAACTTGGGGAAAGCATTGGCAATTAGGTCACCATTGTAACTACTAGAACTGAAATGTGTATTAAAATGTTTTGAAGGCATGAATAATGGAGATTTCCATTGTGTTAGGGATATAATTCTCTCCTTTCTTTCCCCTCTGTTGAGGTTGAGTTAACATGTTTGTTGTAGCTTAGCATTTCTCACCAGTAATATTTCATTCTGATCCCAGAAATAGATACAGAGACTTCAGTTGCCTAGACCTGGAGATAAATAACTCATTTGGATATATGGATATTAAAAGATCATATTTTAAGGACTCAGAAGTGAATGTGGTCATATAAAATGGGAGTTATCGCAGACTTAGATTTGGAAATCAAATCCTAGTTTTCTTTTTTACCAATCTCTTAGTTTGAGGGGGATAACTAAAGCAAATTTGTTATGCGATATTGTATATATTTAGTTTTGTGCCCTACATTGTATTTCAGAGCTAGTATAAGATTTGCCCCTCACTTTCAAGGAGCTTAAAAACTAGTTGGAGAGACAAAGTGAAATTATTTTTCAATTTATGTGGGAAAATTAGAAGGCATTGAGATCTGTGTGAAGTTGTTGTTGTTTGTGCTTGGGAGGTTGGAGGACTCATACATCTTTTCTGACAATGTGAGAGAAGCTCTCCAATGGTTCTCAACCTTCCTAATGCTGTGACCCTTTAATACAGTTCCTCATGTTGTGGTGACCCCCAACCATAAAATTATTTTCGTGCTACTTCATAGCTGTAATTTTTCTACTGTTATGAATTGTAATATAAATATCTGATATGCAGGATGTATTTTCAGGGGTCGCGACCCACAGGTTGAGAACCGCTGCTCTAGACCCTCTCTCTCAAAATACAGAGTGACTTTTGCATATTGTACATAGTCCCTGAGCCCATCTGTGCATGCCTGCAGTTAAGAGGTCAGATTTAAAGTGTTCTCATAAGGAGCCCTGATTAAGAAAGAGCACAGAGAAAGGAGAGGTCAGTGTGTGTTGAAGTGAAAAGGTAGGACCTGAGCTGAAACTCTGCTAATGTAGAATTAGAGTAAGCAGAGAATTTTGAGCAGAGTATTTCCAGCAGGGGGAAGCATCGTGTGTGTGTGGCAGTAATTGAAAAGCTGCCAGATTAAAATAGAGGCTGTGTGTGTAGCAGCCAAGAAAATCAAGTTGGCTAGGTGGCAATGGGTCTAAGTTATAGGGAGCCTTGGAAGCCAAGGAAAGGCATTTAGCTTGATAGGGTAGACACTGGGGAACCATTTTAGTTTTTTACCAGGAGAGCGATATAACCAAAGCAAGGACTACTAGTTTATAAAGAATATTCTGCAGAATTAATTTGGAAGTGAGGAGACTGCATGCAGAGAAGCCAGCTTCAAAGGCTATTATAGTAATTAAGGTATGATGTGATGAGTGCCTGGACCAAATGGGTGGCAAGAAAAGGAGGTGGGGTTTAATCTGACAGATTGATGGGAAAACTTTGGACTCTAAAAGCTAACACGTATTTCATCCACCTTTTATTTTAAATAAGGAGAATGCAGATTTTTTTTATTACTAGCATCTGTGTAATATTTGAAATTATTTGGAATTTAAAAGGGCTTCCTTAAATGGACTATTGATGGTTTTTGAAATAATTTTGTGTTTTCTTTTTAGGCTTCTGATAATTGAAGTGACTTGGAAATTGCTGTTTTCTTTAAAGAGTTTTTTTCTTGATTAAAATACAGAAAAGCACCAAGAATAATATAACAGGCCCATGCGTACCCATTACTCAGAATTAGTAAATGCCATTGTTTTTCACATTTTGCCTCATCTTTTAATTTTATTTTTTAAATATATTTTTTTGATTTTCTACAGAGAGGAAGGGAGAGGGACAGAGAGCTAGAAACATCGATGAGAGAGAAACATCGATCAGCTGCCTCCCGCCCCCACACATCAATGATGAGGGAGAATAATTCATCGGCTGCTTCCTGCATGTCCCACACTGGGGATTGAGCTCACAACACAGGCATGTGCCCTGACCGGGAATTGAACTGTGACCGCCTGGTTCATAGGTTGATGCTCATCCACTGAGCCATGCTGGCTGGGCTAAATAAATAAAATCTTACAAATACATTTGAGGTTTCCTTTGTACCTACTCTCTAGAGCCATTTTCCTCCCTGCCTCCTGAAACGTAACCACTCTCGTGAATTTGGAGTATAGCCTTTCTGTCTATTTGTTCCTTCTTGACTAATACACATGTCAGTATATATGTTCATAAACAATACATAGTTTAAAAATGATAGTTTTATAGTGTAAGTCAATATTTCTACAACTTGTTTTTTTTTTATTAATTTGTTTTTTGAGGTCTAAATACAGCGAGTTCATGTAGCTGTTCACTTACGTTAAGGGTAAAAACAATTGTTCTAGCCGAAACCGGTTTGGCTCAGTGGATAGAGCGTCGGCCTGCGGACTCAAGGGTCCCAGGTTCGATTCCGGTCAGGGGCATGTACCTGGGTTGCGGGCACATCCCCAGTAGGAGGTGTGCAGGAGGCAGCTGATCGATGTTTCTCTCTCATCGATGTTTCTAACTCTCTATCTCTC